CCCCCAGTCTGTCCCTTTTTCCCTCCTGCCATGGAGTCGGGTGGTAGAATTTACAAGGACAGGACAACAGGAGAGGCCCACTTATAAGCCAGATGCAATGGACTGGAAAGTGAAGACGTTAGAGCACGGCCGTGAGAAGTCAGGCTAACTAATATGATGGTCAGAGTGACTTTGCAGTCAGTTTAAACAGAGCCAAGTAGGTGCGCTGCTGAGTCAGGTCATCTGGGGCCAGATGGAGGCATCACTGCAACTTCCTCCACCCCTCCCCGACCCTGGCAGTGCAGCATTATAACTCCTCCCAGCCTGAAGTCCAGCCGCGGCGCTCTGCTCTCTGGGTGCTCTGGGAGGGGTCGGAGGGGCAGAGTCTCGCCTTCCCATTGGAATCCCCATGGAGCAGTGATGGGCAGCCCGGAGCAGTGCATGGGCCGCAGGAGTGACCCTCCTTCGTCTTGGGGGGACACAGCGGGGGGCCCCCTGAGCTCCGCGGCCCTCTTGGGTCCCGCCTGTGGCCGGCACACCCCAACTCTGCCCCCTTCTGTCGCACCTCTCGAGCCCTGCATTTCCTACTCCCCCCATTCCCGCCCAGCACTTTCGGACCTATTTGTGGCTAGTCAAGCTCTGGGCGGGAGAGGCCGGAGCAGGGACGGACCACAAATCAGCTGTGAAAGTGCTGGGAGGGGAGGGAGAGTAGGAAGTGTGGGGCAAGAGGCGTGAGGGGGAGGGGGTAGACAGGGGCTGCGGGGGCTGCAGGTTGCCCACATGGCCTCACTACAGAGCGTGGGCTGCTCTCAAGTACTGGGAACACTGCATATAAAAGAGACACTCCCTATTGCTTTGCCCACTTCCATCACTACGGCCCTTGACTTGGCTCCCACGAGTTTCCTATGAAGGCAGGTCGGCAGCTTCCCTGGCAGTCTAGAGTAGCTGGTAAATCCTGCGCAGAAGTGTCTGCAAACACACACACAGCGCCCCGCTGCCCGGGGGAATGGTGCACCACATTGCAATACTAATGGAGCCAGCTGTGGGAATCCCAACGGTACCTGGATCAGAGATTTGTGTGGGCGTGAGCACCGTGTCATAAGGGAATGGGAGGCGTGTGCGTGGACTCCGGTATCGATGCTCTTACTGACAACCATGTTGGTTTCTGTTCCCGTCCAGGTGTCTACCTCAGGGTCCCTGGGCCCCCTCTCCATCAATCCGATCCACAGTACCATGCCTGGGACAGGTAAGCCTGGCTGGAGGATGCTCCCCTCTCCTTTCTTTCACTGATCACAAATTCCCTCTGGCTCTGCCCCCAATCAGCACTTCAGCCTTATATCTGGTCCGAAGGCGTCGTGTGTTTCAACATTTGCAGCCCATCCAAGCAGGGGCCCTGGGCTGACCGTAATTAGCAGGGACCGTAATTAGCTTCCTGGCATGGCCAAATGAGTAGGGAGGGGTGCAGATGGTGGAATCCACATCTTCACTCTGGCCACGTGGAGGAAATCCCGCTGGGTGGAACATTCCCAGGAATGCTGGTATTAAGGGATGGAAGGAACCAGAGAAAAAACCCTGGATCCAAACACTCCTGAACTTAGAGCCAGAACCAACTCCCCTCAATTTCTTGTCTTAGACCTAGATTGTAAGCTCTTTGGGGCAGGGACTGTCTGTTCTATGTCTGTCCATGACTAGGGCTCCTAGGCATGATGATGATGATAATCATTATCATAGGGGCTCAGGTCTCTCTGTGCTAACGTGAAGGGCTGTGGAACAAGATGCATCTCCCCAGAATGGGATTTATTTTTTAAATCTCCTTCAACTGCTGTCTGTCTCTGCCCTTCCTTTTGCTGTCGTCCTTCCTCCCGTTCTATCCCTAAAAGCAACTCCCTCCCTCTCACCTGCTTTGCCACGGCCTCAAAGTCCTGGCCGAGGGTTTGGGGCTGGGAACACGTTCCACAGGGTGTGTCCCGGGAGGAAGATTCTGGCAGAGTCCTGGCAGGTCCCACACTGGAGGAGCCGTGTGCAGGGAGAATGGTCCCTGACTTCCCAGGTGCGGGCGCTTTGCCTATCAGACCAGGGCACGGTGAATGCGCCTTCGCTGTTGCAGGAGAGCCGGAGGGGAGATGCGCCTGCCCCCCACGCGCTGAGCCTCATTCATCTTGCTCTTCTCCGACAGTAACATCCTCGTGTTCCCCTGGAAGCGCCAGCAGCAGTCCTTCCTCGCCCAGCACAGGGCTCCATGCCAGCAGCCCCGGTGCCTCCCAGAGCAACTCCAAAGCCACAATGAACTCGTCCAGCTTCAACCCTTCTGGGTAAGGCGATGGGGAGCGCCTGGCACGAATGCCCAGGGAAGGAGACAGAACCCCGAGGGCTCGCCGCACCCGTAGCAAGGATGGGATTAGAAAAACCCAGTGAGATGAGGCTGTTCCATTGGGTTCATTGGCTGTTCCATGAGGGTTTGAGGCTGTTCATGCTTGCTCGGAGGCTGTGTGAGGAATGGCTGTTTCCTGCTTCCATACTTAGAGAAAATGCTGCGTTTGCTTGAAATGTCCTGCTAACACAGATTTGGCCTGGGGGCAGGTACAGGGCCGTGACGCTTTCCTTCTGTCGGCGGTAGGAAAGGAGAGAGGAAGAGGAGAGGATCCATTTTGCTGTTGCTCCTACACTTGGGTGTGTCTAGACTACCGGGTTTTGTTGACCAAAGTGGACTTTTGTTGACAAAACTCTACCTGTGTCTACACTACCCCCGCATTCTCTCAACAGCAAGTCGACAGAACGCGGCAGTTTTGTCGACGGCGGTAAACCTCATTCTACCAGGAATAACGCCTTTTCTCCACAGAGTTCTGTCGACAAAAAGTGCTATTGCACCCACACTGCTTTTTCAAAGGAGAGCGTCTCCGCGGTCTTTTGCGTCTACACTCTCTGTCGAAAAAGCGGCTTGGTCTGTCGACAGAACTGGTTGTAGTCTAAACGCTCTTTTTCCACAGGGCCCACTGCTCAGTTCAGTGCTGTTGCTGGTGTCCTCCTCCTCCCCCGGCCACAGTTGTGGCTGCTCCCAAGCAGCATTGCTCATGCCCTCAGTTAGCAGAGAACAAGCCCAGAGGCTGCTGGGTGTTACGGCAGCTACTGTGCCTCCTCCTGAGTCATGGAGGAACATGCTCTGATCTTGGACACCTGAGAGGAGGCAGGATCTTTTCTGGCATCCCCCCCGTGACTCCGTATGCGTGCAATCTGAGCAAGGCGGATGCTTCCTGGCAGCTGTTTGGAGCAGACTGTCTTTGTTCTAGGGATGTTAAATATTGGTTAATTGAATAGTCGATTAACCTCATGAATTCTTATCCGTTAGTTGACTATTCTATAGTCCTCGGGCCCAGCCTCTGGACCCAACACAAGCTGGAACTTAGCTGGGCTGCCTGTCTGCCCGCCTGGCTCCTAATACACTTTAAATGCAGAGCTGCAGCAGGGGTAGGTCCAAGACCCAGAGCAAGCCGGGACTGAGCTGGGCTGCTGGCCAGCCTGCTAAAAAACATACTGGCAAGTGAGGGGGGAAATGCGTGCGGTCTATAGCATTCACCTATAAGCTTTTGCTTATCGATTAATCCACTCCACTATCACATCCCTCTTAGTTCTAGTGCAGCCCACCGTGGGTTTTGTTCTGACCTCCCCTGCTGGGTTCAGAGGACTGGGTGCTGGCTAAGTACAGCTACACATGAAATAATGCTGGGCTTGTGTTCCAGGGGGGAGGAAAATAATGGTGCATTTGAACGGGCTGTTTCCTTTGTTTCAGAGCTTGGTACCGATGGAATCAACCCACTTATCTCCATTGAGGCGATTGGTCCATCGTGCATAAAGGGAGCCCTGACTTCTAGCTATGGACTGACTTCTGGGGCAAAGCTTAGCGCGACGGTGCCTTCAAAGGGCAGCAGAAGGAAAAGCCTTGCTTATTGGAGCCCAGCACAGCTGAATACTTAAGAGACTCCAGGTGTAACTGAGCCTCCCAGGAGATTCTCCGCTCCAGCAGTGACATTTAATACCCTTCCAGGTGTTAACCAAAAAAATAGGATCCCTCACTTGGCCCTGTCAGCACCAAACACTGCCCATCGCCTGTGGATAGCTGCTCTGTATTGCCTGGCAGTCTCTTTGTGACACTCCTTCCCACTCCTAGCTCATTTCAGGGCTTCACATGAGAAGGGGCTGCAGTGCCGTGTCTGACCACACACATGAGACACACGTGTCCCCGAGACCCGTAGACTGCACCGAGGTGACCACACGCATGTCACCAAAGAGGTAGATATGAGCTTTGGTGTCCTATCAGCTACCCAGGTGACTATCCTTGTGCATCATTCTCTACTAAACAGGTGTCCTTGGAATGATTTCCCCCTTTTCTAGAGCTCTGCTCTTCCGTTCATTAAATGTGTAGAGCAAGGTGCCTCTTGACTATTTTCTCCCTTGAAAATGCATCTTATTTGTAAAGACACTGCTCTGGTAATTGTTCAGCTCCAATCCTCAACTTCTCAGATGATGGATGAAATTCTGGCCCACTTAAGCTTGGGGATTTTATCTTATGTTTATTTGCTTCCCTCTTATTTATCCACTGAGCTTTGTGAGATGCCAAACCACAAAATCTCCCTAACTTTGTGAGGGGGGGAGGTGCGTGCTGTTCATTTGTGCTGAATTATAAACATGTACATAGTCCTCCCATCCTTTGTGGTATGTTCTTCCATTCCTAGGAGGACAGTTTGTCTAACACAGGTGTGAATTTTGCGGAGTCTATTTTTCGGTGTGTGTAGTGTTTACTTTCATTAAAAACCAAAGTGTAGAAAATCAGCCCAGCATCACAGAGTATCAGCAGGGAAATTGTTTGTTTCGCAGCTCCTCTGTCTGAAAGGCACAGAGATTTCATTTTCTGGAGTGGAATTCAGACACAAAATACAGTACCATGTCCTGGAGCAAGCCCCTTAGCTCCTCTTAGCTCTGCGTTGGAACTTCAGTGATGAACAGCAGCTGGAGATCTTGTTCAGAAAGTGTAAATAGACATTCCAGTGTGCAATATTGATTCTATTTCCTTTTCTAATATCTTGTTATGTTTATATAAGCACTACCTACATTTTTAGGAGTAAAAACCCTGTTTTATTAGTGGTTGGAGCAATTTTTTCCTTGATTCAGTGTTGTGTTAAAAAGCCCCCCAAACAGCTCTACAATCCAGGGTTGAATTAATGATCTTTAGGAATTTTCAGTTGCTTCCACACACAGATCTCAACCCTGTAAACACTGCAAATTTTAGGTGTGTATATTTTATAGAACCCGTATTCTGTAATTTTCTGCCACAGTAAGGCTTTTATCCTAAACCCAGAAAGTCTGCAGCCCCCTCTGTTCTCCCTTGTCGGTAGGCCTGCTTACATTTCACTTCCAAAAATAATTTTTAAGAGTTTAAGACCAAGTTCCATGACTGAATACATTTTGGAGGCTGGGCTCTGAGAACTAACGAGAAACCTTACCTGCATATGAAAATGAAATTTTTTGTTCCCCATTTGTATGTTCACTATTTGATGGCTATAAACCAAAAGGCTAGTGAGCCAAGCCTGCATCCTCAGCACTCTCTGTATGGTAGGGAAGCATGGAGAAAAGATTAAACGTTTCCACCTCCGTTGTTAATGCCACATACTCAATGTCAAATGGCGAGATAGCGTCACCAAGACAGATTCTTTACAGAGCAAATTTATCAACCGCCCTGCTCAAACAAAGACAATTGTGCTGGCTGGTCACAGGGGAGGCGGGAAGATAGACGCACACCCAGCAGGGAAAGTAACAACATTTCTTACTGGCACTGTCCTATTGAAACCCAGGTCCTTGCCAGCTCTTTAAATAGCTCCCAGCTGGCTTTTGCCATAGCTCAGACAGCTCTTACCAGAGCTGCGCACCTGCTTACTTTCACCTCTGCGTGTACCCAAGGACATGCTAGCACAGGGAACAAGAACAACAGGATGTCCCAAGCTTTGCTACAGAGACACATCCAAGCGAGAGACAAAGGAATTAGGAATAGATCCTGACCAATGGGAAATCTTGGCAAGTGATTGTAACGTGTACCACCATCAGAGTATCAAAGGCCATGAGCGAAGCTAGATCCTACAGCAGAAGAGAAAAGAGCCTGTAGGAAGCAAGCAGCTCCCGGCCATAATACAGACATTTAGAACAACTGCCAAAGATCATTCATATCTCAGGGTACGTCCAAACTACATGGCTCTGTCGACGGAGCCATGTAGATTTGTTTGTTTGGCAAAAGGAAATGAAGCGGCGATTTAAATGATCGCGGCTTCATTTAAATTTACATGGCTGCCCCGCTGAGCCGACAAACAGCTGATCAGCTGTTTGTCGGCTCAGCGCGGCAGCCATGTAAATTTAAATGAAGTCGCGATTATTTAAATTGTGGCTTCATTTCCCTTTACCGATCAGCCTAATTGACATGGCTCCATCGACGGAGGCATGTAGTCTAGACACACCCTCAGACTGGACTATTCAGCCACATGAGACATTGCAAACCATCTACAGTTCCCACCATCTCTCGCAGACGAAAGGACGCCAACAAATGTGATGCTATGAACATTCAAGTATAGACAGAAGGAAAATCTTCATAAAGAGCTGGCTAATAGTATTTCTGTGCTATACTAGTTCTTTTCTGTAGGATGCTCTGGTCTTGCTCTTGTCTCAGACAGACCCCTAAACTGTGGTCTGCAGAGCCCTCATGGCTGCAGGGTGTTAGCTGTCATGCTGCTGTGCTGGCCCATTTCCTCCCGTCACCTGCTAAGTTGTATTAAAGGTACTAACTAAACTCTCCTACCCCCCACTGATGCGGGTCTTACGTGTTGCCCCTCGCCCCCTCTTGTCCACACCAAACCTCTCCCGAGTGTGGTGAGTCTGCAGAACAGGCCAAAGCCCAAGTGCCGCTCACACGCCAGCTTGTAACCTACTTTCCTGCAGTCCAGGTTCAGTCACTTGAGTGTTGCTAGTCTGCCAAAGCCTTCCCACACTCCCTTCTCTCGAGCCCAGGGCTGACACGATTTCCCACAACTCACTGGAAAACAATCAGCGCGGCGCTCGGGGAGTTCTAGATTGTGTCCACCAAACACAGTAGGCGCACAGCTCTCAGACACTGGTGCTAGGGGCCATGGAAGAACCATGGCAGCCAGCTGCTGCCCTCTTCTGGCACAGCTTAACTCTACAGTGGACTAGCCTTGCTGTCAAAGGAAACAGATAGAGCCCTGCAAATCCACAGATCTTTATAGTCCTGGGTATCCACATCTGCATAGTCGGGGATACAGATTTTGTGTCTGTGCAGGGCTCTAGAAACAGGGCTCCTAGTTTTCAATGCAACCTCAAGGAAGTGGGAGGGACCCTTTGGAAAATAATTAGGGACCCAGGCATCTGCACACATCGCCTGGGAAATACCCAGCCAAGGGCAATAGGAAAGACAGTCAGAGAGCAGCAATGCTTTGGGAAGGGGTAGGGGAGTTTTGACACAATGCATGCCCCTTCCCTGCAGGCTGAGCGCTTGGGCGGCCCTCAGAAAAGATTCAAAGGCTGCCCAGCCGATTAGCAGAGAGCCCACAGCCAGCAGCAGGCCTTTCCGCATCTGCACATACCTGGGAGCACATAACAAAAATTAGTCCGCAGGTGGATGGAAAAAAAATCAGAGGGAACCCTGCTAGCTAGTGCCTGTCCATCTGATGGACCCCGTTTCCCCCTCAGCCATGGGCCTGAGCAAACTAGTGATTACTCCTGTCTTTCCGGCTGTGTCTAGACTGCAGGTTTTTTTCAAAAAAAGTAACCTTTTTTCGAAAAAACTTCACTTCCGTCTAGGCTACAGCCGCGTTCTTTCGAAATTAAATCGAAAGAAAACGCGGCTTTTCTTTCGACGGCGGCACTCCTCATTTCACGAGGAAGAACGCCTTTTTTCGAAAGTGCTCTTTCGAAAAAAGGCGTTCTTGACTGCAAACAGGGCGTTTTCGAAAGACAGCATCCAGACTGCCTGGGTGCTCTCTTTCGAAAAAGCGGCTCGCTTTTTCGAAAGAAGAGATTGCCGTCTAGATGCTTTTTTTTTCGAAAGACGCTTTTTCGAAGGTATCTTTCGAAAAAGCCTCTTTGGAAAGAGGCTTGAAGTCTTGCCCTAGCCTCCCAGGGACCCTATTAAAATACCGACAGAGCCAGGAGCGTATAAAGGCCGCCTCCCCGCATGCCTCCCCAGTCTCTTCTTTCTTCCCACGCCCCGTTTCCTGGCACCCCCTCCTTCTGGCCCCCCTGGGCTGTGTTGGGGCACCCCTCCTCCTGGCGGGCGCGGCAGGGGGCCGGAGAGAAGCGGGGGTGGGGCAGAGAGCCCCCCCTTTTCGGGCCGGGCCCCCCG